AACTGGCCCGGGAAGAGGTGCAAGTTGCCCATGGAGGTTTCGACATGTTTAAACATCCACGTGGTTTCCCTCCAAAGGGCACCTTGCGGATGTAGTTTCACAGCTTTTGCCCATCCTGACCAGCTGTTGTTCTGTTTTTTGCCGAAGGGAAAAGGATACCAATAATTTTCAGGCCGCGCGAGTTTTGCACACCAGGTGGCGACGCAGTACTTCCTGATGAACTCGTTCTTCCTGCAATTTCTCGGCAAGCCTTTGGGCCACGTCAAAGACTTACCTCAGCAGGAGCGAACCCCGGTGTGTTTTTCTCTGCTGGAAACAGTTAGAAGGTCACCTTGACCAGCTCGGAGCATCCTGGCTTATGGATGTAATGTTAACCCCGGATTAAGCAGAACCCCTGGTTGATTAATAGGGGGGTGTCCCCTTTTAGTGGGGATTCAGACCACTCTTGGAGGGAACACCCCCCTAATAATGGGACGGGTTTATTAATCCTGGGTCAACATTATCCGGCCCCACGTAGTGGACCTGGTTTTGGACACAGGCGGTGAGTTTCAGGCCTTTGTCCATTGACACTTTCAGGATGACTTCTTCGAGAGGCAAGTGGGCAGGCAGATCGGAAAACAGGCTGGGGCCTGTTTGGGCCGCGAGTCGGAAACTTGCATGGCCCTGTAGGGGGTGGGCATTGAAAACAAAACAAACACACAAACTGTTGTTTGCCCCACAGACCGGGCAAAATCGAGGTCAAAGAATTTGGGGTTGGGAACCAGGGCTGGGGGGGTCTTCTTGCCGGCCTTGGAAAAATGATCGACCTCGCGGAGGATTCCTTTTTGGGGGATTCGGTCGCCAAGTTTCTCGGAAAAGATGCCAAAAAGACCCCGCTGAACCAGGGTCCTCGAAGTGTGCCAACCTTGGAACCAGCTCCTTGGTTCGATTTTTCTTTCGCCCCTGTGACAAACGAGTTGCACGTCACTGACAACCAGACATAGCTGACCCGATGTGCCAAATAGGGTAAACACGTATTGTTGTTTTTCCTTTGGGTGAACAAGGTGGCTTTGCAGAAGCAGGTTGTTAAGTGACCTGAAGCTGCCATGAGTGCACTTCAGAACCATCATGGAGGCCTGATAGTTATCGAATTTGCTCTGGAGGTGTGGGTGTTTCTCAGCGGGAACACCTTGCCGTTATTTGATGGGAAACATCAAGCACACCAACGACCTGAATAGCCCCTTCGCCTGGTGTGTGAAGAGCAAAAGAAAGCCAGCCGGCTCCAAGCAAGGATGGGGTTCCGAACTTTGAGAGCGTGTTCTACCAACATGGCTTCACGCCGTTAGTTCCAGCGCTTAGTTCTGTTTCTTGTGACTTCATTGGGCTCTCTCAAAGAGCCCCGTAACTCAGTGAAATCGGTTCCCAAAATCGAACCCTAGAAAATGGAAACATGTGCTACAACCTGCGGTCCAATTCCTGGTGGTTTCATTTTGACCCATACCCAAGGATGGTGTTGTTGTGGGGTGGATGAACATCCATTTGCCACTTACTTTGACGTTCACCAGGGGTAGGTTTTGACCCACAGCCACACGTCCGCTGGCGATAGGCGGGGATGCCCTACCTCCACTGCTTCCGCCGCCACGCGGCGGCTTTGCGCCAGTTTCTGCAAGAGATCAGCTGGGACCTCGCGGAATACAGCCGCGCCGGCTTTCCTCAGACGGGCAAGGCAAGGGCTTTGCGAAGAAAAACCTGCTGGCAGCTGTTGCTAAAGCGGGGTGTCGAGAAGAAGTCGCCGGAGGTTCCCTAGATGTCCCAGGTTGGGCGATTTGGGGAGAAAAGGCACAAGTGGATGGCTTAGCGTCAGACCAAACCAAAAAACCAACCGGGGCCTGCGGGCCTCGTCTTCCTCTTGCGCCGGGCGACTTTCGGTTTACGTGGCTTTCTTTGGCCGGAGCTGCATGGTCTGTTCAAACCCACCCGGCCGGAGAAAAAAAAAAAAAAAAAAAAAAAAAAAAAAACAGCAAGCACCCAGATGTGTCAAATGAGGGCTGCGGACCCCACTGGTCAAAAGTTTGTGTTTTTACGCTTCCCCTTTTAAACGGCCACCAATCAAAAGCAGGAGACGCCACGTGCCACGGGCGAAAAAAAAGGGACGGCACCTGGTTCCCGCGGCCTCCCGATTCGAGGACACTCTGGTGGGGAGGTGGAAGTTGTACGATGGCCTGGACTACCTCGAGATTTGGCTCGGTGATCCGAAGGCTTTGGAGAGCGTCTGCCAGCGCTGTCGCAAGTACCACGTTCGCCACCGGGACCGCGAGTCTTGGGGTTGAAAACCACAGCGTTCTTGATGTGCTTTTTCGCTTTGAGTGGGGGCTTGAAAAAAGCAAGGTTGTTTTTTGCTTCCATGGATGAACTGAACAATATGGACATCCCACTGCATCACCAGCATCTGGGCTTTTCGGCATCCCTTGCATTTTTTGCACCTACGAGTAGGTTTGGCGGTCGGACATAGCTGGGATGTTTGCGATCAAGTGAGGGGCTCTGGGTGTGCGCCCCGCGCGGCGCGCGCGAGCGCGCCGCACGCAGGACGCGCAAGACACGCAGACATGCAAACACACAAACACGCAAACACTCACGCATGCACGCACGCGTGTAGGGTAGGGTGGGCGGCTGGGTGGGTGGGGGGGTAGGAAGGGTGGGAAGCGTCGGAAGGGTGGGAAGCGTCGGAAGCGTGGGAAGGATGGGGAGGGTGGGAAGGGCCAGCGCAGCTGGTGATAGCGAAGCTCTAGGATATGGCTGCGCCCAGCATGAACTCTCTATGGTTGACCCTGCTCAAGGAGTTGTTTGACCCAGTCGCTTTATTGCGGCGCTTAAACAGAAAGGCTTACACGAAGGGTTGGTGCCAGGGGCTCGGTTTCCCTGATTTGGAGCTCCAAAACAGGGCTCCCTATGTTTCCCTCTTAAACATCACCCCACTTGAAGGAACCTCATTTACCAATCGCTCAATGCTTGGGGTTCAACCCACTTACTAAGTAGCTTGTGAGCAGGATTATCAAGTAACTGCCTTTGATTCCTTCAAAACCGTGGTTACAGCTTGCTTACTAAGAGGGATGGACAAGTAAGTATCACAATGCTTCCCCCTTTAAGACTGCCTCATTTGCAAAAGAGCACGTTTTTTCCACCTAGGCGTGGAGTTCTCGTGGAGGTATTATGCCAACTTTTCCCCGAAAAGGCAAGGCAAAAAGAGCACCATGATTGAATTGGGAGACCTTGAAGGTGATTCGTCGTCATGAACCAGTAAGATCCATAAACTTCCCCAAGCAAATTTCTCAAAAGGACACTGGTTTGGGGTTTCCTCACCTTTCCAACCTCGGCAAGGAGTACCTCGTCAGGGACAAACTGGCCCACAAGAGGCTTCTTTTTGTGTTGCAGCAGATCGACCCTCGGCGCTTGGACATGGTGAGGGAAGTCATGTGGTCCGGGCCCCCAGGAGTGATTGGGGGCGACCATTGGGGTTGGGGTTGGGTTGGGGGGGGGTTGACCAGGGCACCATTTTGAAGGGACCCAAGTTGAGAGTGAGGGGGGGCCGGCTGGGGCTCATTTCCACAAGCTATATTCGTTCCAAGCGGATCACAAGCGAGGCGATTTGCCGGCTGCGGTGGCACCCCGAGGTACTACGAGTACGATTTCGGGCCAGACATGCAGACGCTCCTCTTCGGCTCGGAAGGAGAGGGCATGCCCGAGCTCGTGGGGACAGAGTGCAACCAAACTGCACCCAGTGGTGGAACCTGGACCAGCTTTCCCGGAAAAAAAAATGTGTGTGTCGTCTTGCTTTCACTGAAGAAGGCGAGGCATGTTCGGAACCCTTAATTTGGCATCGGTTTGTGGAAAGCGGCTTGGGGAAAGCGGCTGCCAAGGTGCAGCTTTGAATGGGCCAGATGCAGTTCAGGCTTCTCGAATTGGTGGCAAAGCTGATGGCAAAGGGTCCGAAGCGCAAGGCAGCGTTGAAGCGCCCGAAGCGCAAGGCCAAGGCGATGAAGCACCCGAAGCGCAAGGCCAAGATGAGAAAACTGGCAATCCTTCCGGCCTCGGCTCATCCAAAGACCGACCCAAGCGTCAAAAGGTGCGATGATGCCGGGAGCATGAAGAGCTTGCATCTAGACGATCAGCGAGACGAGGTTTGAACATGTGCCAAGCCGATCCATTGCCTTCCCGCAATTGATTAGTTTGAGGCATGTCGAGACACGGCTGACAAAACGCCCGTTCGAGCGTGTCTGCTTTGGGCTCCAAATTCAGCACCGAAGTTTTGCATTGCATTGCACTTGCCCCATCGCCCATTTCTGATTTTGATAACCTTTGCAAGAGCATATTTAGCAGCCCTTCCTTTACATGGCCCATTTCCTACTTGGCTTTCCCTTCGGCCAATCGCCTCATTGCAGCAACCGTCTTGCAGTACCGGAGTACCCTTGTTGGGGTTGGTTTACAGGGAAACCATGCAAGCGGAAAAGCACCCTTTGGAGATATATGGGGCGGGGGGACGAAACCCTGACGCATGCCGTGCCGCATGCCTACATGATTGATGGTTACCCGTTGTTGTGTTTTCCCCGTTTGAGCATGGGTCAAAATTAAGCCACCGCACTTATTATTCGTCCATGTGTCCATCTACCCGGGCAACCCAGTTTGGGGTTACCCCATCTTTGGTGCATTTTGCTTGGATGTTAGGACTTTAACTTTTTGCAAACTAGTGTTTTTCCCCATTAAACCACTAAAAGTTAGTCACTTTTAGCAGGGCTTCGCAGAACAGAACCTAGGAGTGATTTATGACATATCCCACTACAGGTTTCACTTGCTGCAAGGGATCAACGGGTTCTGATAAACAAGTTCCAGCTTGCACCAAAGGGCAATCATGTAACATCCAGGAACCCATTTGCCATTTGACCCAATGCCATTGACCAAAAGGTCCCGTAGACCACGAAACCCTCTCGCCTTCTAAGGCTGCGGCTTGTGTCGAGACACCTAAGGCCATGAGGCGTCGGTCACGTCCCGCACTTCAAGCGGCAGTGGTGAGACGCTTCAGTGCAACTCGCCCGGTGGCCTGGTGGCCAACATTGTGGAAGCGCACAAAAACATATATATATATATAGTAATTTATATATATATATATTGTTGATTTATTTATATATGTATAATTACATATATATATATATATGTATACATATATATGTATATTTATACACATGTAGGGTTTTAGGCCTCTTCATGGGTGTCCGGTTCTTTCCCATTCGCCAAGGCTCCAATTCCCCGTGCCAAAAGCTTTGGTATCACGGCGGCGGATTCCGCGTCCAGAAATCTGCGCCGCGTTTCCAAAGAATCGCTTCGTGTTGCTGGCCTCAGATGCCACGTATCCCTAATCTGGCGGCACACGTCTGTCACCTTTTCGAGTGATTTCAAAAATGGTAATGGACCCCCGGCTGGATTGCGTTGCTCTTGCCAGTTGTGGGGGCAGCATTTTGTTTAGGATGCAATTTCTTACTTGGTGACTCACTCGTTTGATGGGATCCACTCATTTTGGTTGAAGAGACACGTGAAACGACAGGACTGTCCTATCCAAGTGCACTGATTTCTTCCTGGATGCAGAGTATGTTCCATGCATCTGTGGGCAAGGGTTTGCTGGATCTATGCACAACCACTTAGATGGTTCCGGATTTTTGCACATGACTTCAGACCATTGGGTTGCTATGCTCCAAACAACACTGCTTCTCTGGATCTTTTCTTTCAGCTTGAAGTGTCCGGATCATACCTGCTTGACGTGAACGCCTCTGCCTGCGCTGAAGCACTTCGAGCTTTGTGTGTGTGTATGTGTGTGTGTGTGTCTGTGTGTCTGTGGTTGTGTCTGTGTCTGTGTCTGTGTCTGTGTCTGTGTCTGTGTCTGTGTATGTTTGTGTGTCCGTCGCGTGCGTGTGCGTGTGCGTGTGCGTGTGCGCGTGCGCGTGCGCGTGCGCGTGCGTGCGTGCGTGCGTGCGTGTGTGTGTGTATATATATACATATGCGTGTGTCTTTGTGTCCTTGTGTCTTTGAGTCTTTGTGTCTTTGTGTCTTTGTGTGTGTGTGTTTGTGTTTGTGGTTTGTCTGTTTTTTGTTGTTGTTGTATGTTTGTGCTTATGCTTGTGTTTGTGTGTGTATGTGAATGTTTTTGCGTCTGTGTGTGTGTGTGTTGTTGTTTGTGTGTGTGCTTATGTTTGTCTTTGTTTGTTTGTGTGTGTGCTTGTGTGTTTGCGTGTTTGTGTGTGTGTGTGTGTGTGTTTGTGTGTTTGCGTGTTTGTGTGCGTGTCTTGTGTGTGTGTGTGTGTGTGTCTGTGTCTGTGTCTGTGTCTGTGTCTGTGTCTGTGTCTGTGTCTGTGTCTGTGTCTGTGTCTCTGTGTGTGCGTGCGTGCGTGCGTGCGTGCGTGCGTGCGTGCGTGCGTGCGTGCGTGCGTGCGTGCGTGCGTGTGTGTGTGTGTGTGTGTGTGTGTGTGTGTGTGTGTGTGTGTGTGTGTGTGTGTGTGTGTGTGTGTGTGTGTGTGTGTGTGTGTGTGTGTGTGTGTGTGTGTGTGTGTGTGTGTGTGTGTGTGTGTGTGTGTGTGTGTGTGTGTGTGTGTGTGTGTGTGTGTGTGTGTGTGTGTGTGTGTGTGTGTGTGTGTGTGTGTGTGTGTGTGTGTGTGTGTGTGTGTGTGTGTGTGTGTGTGTGTGTGTGTGTGTGTGTGTGTGTGTGTGTGTGTGTGTGTGTGTGTGTGTGTGTGTGTGTGTGTGTTTGTGTGTCCGTCATGTGCGTGCGCGTGTGCGTGTGCGTGTGCGCGTGCGTGCGTGCGTGCGTGCGTGCGTGCGTGCGTGCGTGCGTGCGTGTGTGTGTGTGTGTTTATATTTAAATATATACATACGCTTGTGTCTACACGCTGGTGTGTGTGTGTTGTGTCTTTGTGTTTTTGTGTCCTTGCAGAACGACAAAAAGAAGAAACCACATGATAACTAAAACACGGAAACAAACAAAATGACAAACATAACTCGAGGATTCTGTTTTTGTTGGGTTCCGACTATCGTGTTTCATTTGTCTCAAAGAATCCCAACACGAGGGAAGCCGCAAATAGCCCTGTTTTTCTTTGCCAAAATGGCGGCTTGTGCTTGGTTTCTCTTTAGAAGCCCTAAGTTTAGGAAGCCACCTTCGTGGAATATCCTGTGTTCAAAGGGGATCTAATGGATACCAAGCACTTCAGGGGCGTCCAGTTCAAACGACTTGTTTGTCGATGGCAATCTTCTGAAGCTTGTTTGGGACAATGCCCTGACATCTTGTTTGTTCAGGCGCGGCAAATCTAGTCCAAATTGTACAATACTTGTACATCTTGTTTGTTCAACTTTGTTCAACCATGGCAAATCTAGTCAACATCGTATCCCAAGGTGTTGTTTGTGTTCTTCACACATACACCCAGTTGCCCAGTGGTGCCCCTTTTTTTGGTCCCGGTTTTTTTGGGGGAGGGGGGAGCCCCTTTAAGGTCCTAAGTCAACCAACCCCCGAAAAATCGGACGCCCAGAAATTGTCCTTTTTGTTTGGGGAGGGTGTCCGCTTTGAGGTCAACCTACCCAGAAGAAACAGGATGCCCGTTTTTTCCCCACGGGAAATCCAGGGGGCATGCCATCGAGTGACGGGGTAGGCTGGACGCGGGCTACCACGGGACCTTGGAGCTGAGCTGCTCCAACGGCCTGCCGCTGCGCTCGGAAGACAGCGGTGTTGTTGTCGTTTTAATATGCACATATATATATATATATATGTATGTTTGGTATTTTGTTGTTTTTGTTTGTTTGTTGTTGTTGTCTTTTTCCGGTTTGTGAAGGTCCCTGCGCAACCAATCCCAAAATTCGGTGGTCGATGTTGTTTTGTTCTTTCCGGTTTTTTTGCGGTGGGCATGTGGCTTGTTCGTTCGATTCGCCAAGTTAGTAGGTTGTTGCTGACCTAGGTCGGTTTCGTTTTTTTTTTTTTTCTCCATGTTTTTTTTCTGGTTCTAGTTTTGGGATGGCGGGTTCCCCACGTTGAACGACGAAGCCAAAGAGGGGTGGTGGGGTGCTCGTTATGCGGGGGGGTCCCGTGTTGAGCGGCCATGTTCTGGAAGCTACGCAAAGAGGGGTGGGTTCCCATAAGCAAATTTTGGCCAGTAGATCAGCTTCCTCTAATTGGTGGTTTGGATTGGTTTGGTTGCGAAGGGGTGTCCCATTGAGGTCCCTGTGGCTTTCCTGCAAAGCCCAACCAAAAGGGCTTCATGTTTGGTTGACATCTCCCACATTTTAGGGTGGGGGGTAAGGGGACTTCGATTTGTTTGTTATATTCTTCTGAGGGGTTGAAACTTCTTGTAGGGAGGCGTCAACGTGTAAAACAATGACTGGATGAACAAATCTTTAAAGTTGGAGTACATTGGAGTTTACTGAAACCCCCCTTTTATGCTCCTGTTCCTTTCCGGCTAGACTCCCAAAAAAGCAAGATACCAGCGTTTCAATCCCTCACGGAAACAAATGTGTAGGCCCAGCAAAGAAAGAAAGAAAGCAAAAACAAAAAACAGCTAAACCTCCAGTGGTGCCCTGTGTTCCTTTTTTGGAGGGGGCTGCCCTTTAACACCCCTCTGGCCACTGGGGGTCCGCTATCAAGAACCTCAGCACGCCTGTGCACCCCCTCAGAAGAATATAACGAACAAATCGAAGTCCCCTTACCCCCCGCCCTAAAATGTGTTTATCCAGTCATTGGTTTACACGTTGACACCTCCCTACAAGAAGTTTCAACAAACGAAATCTCCTTCATCCTAATCCTTTTCGAATGTTCTTCGTGTCCAATGCTGCCAATGTTTATTGACCCCCACCCTTCCAAACAAAACATATAAACATAAACAGCCAAATAGTCAAATAACAACATGAGAATCCCAAATGTCCAAACTTGCGAACTCAATCCAGACCTGCTTGTTGGACAGCGCTTGGGGTTTTGGACACCGATCGAGGCTCAGCGCGAGCCACAGCTGTCACCAGCTGTGCCTTACCAGCAGCAGCCACTGGGCAAGAATATGTCCGAATTTCTGGTGGGTGTTGTCAGTTCAATTTCGGCGGGTTTGTTTTCAGGAACCTCGCCGCCCAATACAAAGGGAATGTCTACTTTGTTCCACCGTGTTCCTTTCTCTTTCTTTTTTGGGGGGAGTAAATCCACAAAAAAAAGGGCTTTCATCCCAATGGAAACACGTTCCGCCGCGAGCCCTGGGCGCGATTCTCCCGTGGAAGTGGCCCCCGCCTCCCCCCCAAAACAAAAAAGAAGAAAGACCATGGACCATGGAAGTTTCATTGGAAGCCAGGCATTTCTGAGGTGTTATGGTACAAGCAAAGCTGGTGTCCGGTATGTCTGGTGGACCGGTATGGAGCTGAATTTCAAGCGACTTGAGCGCCACGGCTTCGGCAGCTAACACATGGCCCCTGGCCCCCGGAACCGAACAGGTGTTTTGTTTTTTGGACCAGTTTGAAGAAAGGAGGCCATGTCTTCTTGCAGGAAACAAAGAGAGAGAGAGAGAGAGAGAAAGTGAGAGAGAGCGAGAGAGCAACTTGAGCAGAAAGCCAACTCTTCCTCGAGAAGAACCCCGAAACGCACAAAGCGTGCAGGTGTCACCGTGGCAGTGGGCGGCCAAACTTACCAGGTGGGAGGATGTGGCCCAGCGTCGGTACATTCATTGAAGGAGTTCTCATATGGGTATGTTTTTTTTAGGTCCAACCCAAATAATTGGTTTCCTTTTGGCTTCCCTTTAAAACCAACCAAAACAGGTACCCTCGAACGAAGACAGACCCTCCGCGGATGTCTTCTAGGGGGATGTCCACTTGAAGGCATAGTGGATTTCTAATAGGCTGTCTTTGTGATCCTTCACTGGAGAATCATCCCAAAGAAATCCCCTCTCTTTACAGTACTTCCTTGTGGTGCCACGTGTGAAGAGACTACGTAGCGAGCCCTGCTGTACAAAGGTTCAACCAATCGACTCGTTCGCTCGGCAAAGGCACAGAGCCGAGTTGCGACCTGTGCTGTGTGAGTGGCCTAGAATCCTTGACTGCTATTGGGTTGGAATGTAGACTTTAACTTTTTGGGAAATCAAGGGGCTTTCCGCTAAACCCACGAAAAGTGAAAGCTTTTTGCAGAGGGGTCAACAGCAACAAAGACTCCTATGGGTTTGGTCTACCACCAGTCGGCTTAGATTCATTGATCCCACTGCTTCCAAGTGGCAGGACAGTCCTGGCGATGCTTGTGACAAGTCGGCTCAACGTCGGGTGTTCACCGCGATCGATTTCCCGCTTTGAGTGGCTTGAATGCATTGCCTTTTGGGCCAAGCGAACGTGAGCTTTCTTTCTTTGGTGGTGTAAACCCTGACCATCCCAGAAACAACCGAAAGGAAACCCCGTTTCAGGCCGCAAGGGTATTTCTGGCTTGCTGGGTGCCTTTTGCTTCCGTGGCAGGCCTCGCCAACGGAGAGCATAGAGCACATGCAGGCGCGGACAGGAGAGAGATGAGCTTCCACTTCCCTCCAACCAAGAGATGAGGGGAAAAGTGGAAAATGAAGGGAGCAGGCAAAAGTAGTGCATCTATACAGTATACGCACTGCAAACCATTTTATCAGGGCTGCATAACGAGTGGGTTTGGGGCTAGTGGAACCACTCTTAGCGAGAGCTGCCTCGATCCAAAGGTTTCTGGCACGCACGCCCAACCGTCCACCTTTTTCAGCATGACCGTTTGGGCCAGTTTAAAGCACGCTTCTTTTTGGGTGGGCATGAATGCTTTAAGGGGGGAAAATGTTGGACTGCTGTTTGGGCAACATCGAGTTGGACCCCTTTTTAAGTGCAGTAACCCTCTTCAGACAATTCCCTTTGGTCGCAGGCGCAACATAAAGCTGGTTGGCGACTGCCCTCTGCAGATAGCTTTGACTTGCCCAAAACCGTTTGACCTTTGGAGTTTCCGGTTTGGTTCCCAGTCGTATGGCCCCCAAAAGGTGAAGTTTTTATTTCTGGATCCTTTGGGCCAGTGAGTTGATCAAGTCCAACCACCGTGCACTCTCGTGGTAAGAAGTGAGTCGCTGAGCTCAACTCCGTTGTGTTGCTCTAGGGCAACCGCGAGCAACAACTTACATTTGGCGGGCCTCCGCCAGAATTGCGGAAGCTTCTTCCGCAGAAGATGCTTTTCTACTGAAAGCTAGACTGCACATTCCCGTCTCCAACCTTCCAAAACTGTAGGGTTGGAATGTCGGGGCAGTGATCTCGTTTTTGTTTGGCTATGAATCCTAAGAAATCCATCAGCCACCAGAAAGCCGAAGCTTCTGGGCCAGTGAGCGGCTGCCAGCTTTGCAATCGAACGCCCGGGCCGTCTCGAGACAGGGGGAGGCCTTCTGAGCAGCCGAGAAAATTACAGAAACCTGAGACAGGGCGAGCATTTCTATCTGGGTATGGGTCAAAATTAAACCAGGGATGGGACCGCGGGGTTTAGAAACCACATTTCCACTTACCAGGGTTCCATTTTGGGTGCCTATGTTTGACCCACAGCCATTTGGATAGTTTGAAGAGGGATCAGCTGTCAACAGGGGGCATGTGCCAGCCCGACTTTCGGACTAGACCCCAGGACTAGTGACCATGGTTGGGTGAAAAAAGGCTTTGAGGCCGCTTGCTGAGTGAGAAAGTCCTTGGGATGGCGACCACAGGTCGGGGGGAAGGAATTTCCCTGTGCCACGAGAAAACGGACTCATCCCTTTTTTGGCCTCAGGAAGGTAACCCCTAGGTCCCCCAGGTTCCCTTTCTTATTCCTTTTTTGGTTGGGAGGGTTCCCCGAATAAACCACAGAAAAAAGGGTATTCTTATTCTAACCTTAAAACAAACTACGGAAAAAAGTTGGTATTCTTGTTCTAACCTCTCCACTGGAAAAACCTAACCTTTTCCCACCGCCAGACCGGTGTGGTGCAGTGTGGCAGCTTCGCTGCAGGCAAAGATGGGCGCCGCTGTTTGTGGGATCAAGATGGGTCCAATTCTGTCGAAACGGACAAGTTGGACCAGCGACCCCTGTAGATGGGCGTATGTTCTTCTTTTCACCACTGTCCATCATCATGCAATCATAGCTTGTCATTTTCCCTGTTGGTTTTAAAGGGAATCTATCACTGCTTGAAATATGTTTATTTTTTCCAGGGGTCTTAACCAAATGGAAGATAGGAAGCAATGATCATCATGAGCAAAGGGCCCTTGCAAAGGGCACTGGTCACCAACTGATTTGGGCTACCTCGTCTGATAGAAACCGGTGGCAAAAGAACAACCCTGTCCCTGCCTTTGGGGACTTCTGAAGAAGTATGTTTCATGGGGATTGAAGGCTTATTTGGGCTCCCTCCCCATGAATATTCAAAGGGTGAGCCTGGTTAAAAATAGATGGCACTGGCTTAGATGGGTTTGTTCCGTTTACCAGGGCCATGTATTTTTTCCAAAAGGCCACCTATGGGTTGAAGTGAGTGTTGTTTAGTTCATCATTGACTTGGAACATGTTGAGGGTGTCACCAAAAAAAAGGCGCTCGCGGGCATAGATCCGGTTGCTGTTGAACCTGGAATCGGGCGCTCACAAACTGTTTGCTTTGCGTCTGGAGGGTCCTTCAACAAGGCAAAGGAAAACAGCGACGAAAGCAGCCAAAGGGGGCTCCCCTCAATTTGAGTTACATTCCCAGAGGTGCATTTTTGCTTGAATGTTGGGACTTTAACTTTTTGCCAACGAATGGATTATCCGTATTAAACCACTAAAAGTTAGGCACTTTTAGCAGGGGAGCAGAAAGCAACCCAGTTCCCACATGGTTTCTTTCTACAGGACCTTCGTGATAGACTACACACGAACATGGGCTGCCCACTCCAATGCTCCATCTCCTTATGCCGTCATCTCTCACGAATGGGTCGGGATGCTCATGGAGCCACTGCTCAGCCTCCGCCGCCAATTTCCCCCGAGGGGGAAACTAATATGTATACACAAACCAGTGTTTTTATCTAGGCGTACATATGTAGCAATATATATATATATATATATAGACATGTATACTGAAAACTGGTGTCGCTGCCTCTAATTTAGTACCCGGCAGAAATTGTTGGTACCCCCACTGTTTTCAAGGGCGTACCTAACTTCGCTTAGGGGAGGGCTGTGGAAACATTGGACGGCTTTGGCCGTGGCTCTAATTGTTTTGGGGTTTCCTCTTGCCACTGCATTCGCCTTGGCAAGAGAAGTCAGATTGGAACTTCAGAAGCCAATCACACATGTCCCATGTTCCATATCCCACAGCCAGACCTGTATAAGATTTGGGTGGCCTTGCCACCCCTGGGTTGTGTTCATGATGGATGTGTTGTTTTTGACAGACCCTCATGCAATGCCTACCGTAGCGTGGTAGCCGTCACTCGCTCGCTTCGATATCCCAGCATAGATTTCGCCCGCAGGTTTCACGGGCGACATTGTGTTGACCTGCCACGAGGGGACAATCACTGCAGCAGTCTCAGGATAGGAACCGTCACTACTCTCCGGACAAAAGCAAGCTGGGTATGGGTACCGTTCTCAGGTTGGTTTAAAGAAAGCACTAGAAAGTTTGGGGGGTCCCCCGATTCTGTTCTCTGCTGCTGTTGCCTTTTTGGGAGGAAGCTAATCGGGGAGATAGAGCCAAAAGTCACCGAGTCGTTTTTGTTTGCTTTCAAGATCCAGGATCAAACTTGGTTTGTGTCACCGTTTGGTAAGATCTGACATTTGCGCAGTTGAAAATGATGAGCAGGGTTGGACGTTGATCAAGGAAGGTGGATGAACAACCGCCTGTCTTATTCCTGTGGGTTTCGATGGTTTCCACCGATCCAAGGGTAAAGCGAGCGAAATCCCATGATGTAGGTCGTTTACTTGGGGATGCATGTCTTATTTCAGGCTTTGGATAGTTGTTCAAAACTTTCAGATGAAACCTTCTGACCCTTTCCTATCTACTCCACACTATCGAATGCACATCAGTTCAAAAAGTGGCCGCTTGTTGGTCTGGGCAAAAAGCCCAGTATCAGACTTTCAGCCGAGCAAGCTCCAGTCCAAATCATGTGACTCTGAACCAGGACGGAGTGGGGGGCTATTTTGGATTTCTCACACGAAGATCCACTGCAATGGTCGGGATCCGATTGTTTTTCCTTTAAAAACCAAACTAGAAGCAACTGCCATCCCGGCTAACATGTTCCGGCTAGGAAGACTGTCGTTTCAAAAAGTCAAACCCTGTTCCATGGCAACGTGGACAGAACATAGAAACCTAATAAAAGCACAGGGGGCCCGGCCCTTGCGGTCGATTCCATGCGTCGCGTTTTCCGGATGTCCGCGTCCAACGTGCCATGCCTGCGCGCGACATGAACTTCGCCGTTTTGAGGCCGATGTCAGTGGCTGCATGGCTCCCTGCCCGGGGACCAAGTTCGCGGATTTCTTTTTGCGGACCAGGCCTCCTTTTGTTCAGCCCAGCCGGGTGGTTTCAAAACATCACATCCTTTTGGGCCAAAAGTGTGCTTCCTTTCAGGGCGATGTGCAAGGGTTCTCAGAAATCGGCGGGGGAAACAAACGGGAACACCGCCTTTTTTGGGGGGTCACTCCCCCCACCCCCCTCATCTAGACACAAACTCATCGATCGCCCTCTTCTCTTGTTCCGGCTTGGTGTCCCTTTGGAGCTCCGCCGAAACCGCGCCAGACAGTCCCCTCGAAAGGTGCGGATGTCCTTTACCTCGAGGGGTGTTGTCAAAGCTCTAGGCCCTTTTCGCCGCGATTTCATTCCCCGCCTTTTAAGACTGGGATCACAAAAAGGGCCCCGACTTTTCACAAACCTTCACGAGGGTTGTTTTCTTTTTACGGTGCCTTGCAGCCAAACGGTCCACGTCCAACAACCCCAAATTGGCAATCTCGCACCCCAGGTGCGCATGTCCAACCTGAACCCACCGTCGAAGCTGACGGGAAAGCTTCTCTTCAAACCGCGAGGGCAGTTGCTTCTATGTCATGAGGGACCCAGTCCCACCCAGAATAATTAGTTTGAGGCTTAAAGGGGTTAAGGTACTTCAGGTGCCTTGGCGCCACTCTCAGTACCTTGAAATGATTCCCCAAAAGGAGGCTTCTCTATAAACAAAGATGGCATGCTAGGGTTCATGTTCCACGCATGCACTCTTGACCTTGAGACCGAACGCAGTTTGTGCTCTCAAGTGCATGCTTAGACCGGCGCTTCGCCCTGTAGCCGCGGGAGCTGGGGTCGGGTCGGTGGCATCGCTGCTAGGGAGCCTTGCTTTGGCTCAGCTGCGGGACCCGTTGGTGGTGGATCACTTTCCACCGGCGGGACTTTACAGTGAGTGGGGCCCAGGTGAGTGGTGGATCTTTGGCATCGGTCTCGTCATTGGCGTGCTGGTGGGGATCGTGCTGGGCATCTCGCTGGACCTCATCTACCTCTACAAGCAGCTTTGGGTGGCCTCTCTGCGTCAGCGTCTTGCTACTTTGCACCTGGCGGGGAGCCCTTGGAAGAGTGCATGAGCAGGCCTGGGGTTGGAAGGGACCGAGAATTACAAGAGCTTCAGGCAGCTGTTTCTCGCCTCTCTCTACGGGTTGAGGAGCTGCAAGGTCGAGTGGAGGCCCTAGAGGGCCAAGAGGCTGCTGAGAGTGGGAGCTGGGAAGAGGTCCCAGCCGCCTGTGCGGCCACTGAGGCTGCAGAGGAAGCTGAGGGTGGCGTGTGGAGCAGGGTTGATCGGCTGAGGCTGGCTGAGAGGATCGGCGGTTTCATCCGCCGATCACTTCAGGGTCGCCATCGAGGGAGCTCTGGCAGGGACCGACTCCCTCTCCGTTCTAGGATCTACGTGGTGGCCCGGGACATCAAGGGAAGGACCTACGACCCCGTTGTGGTTGACAGCCGGTTCAGTGCAATCCGCCCTCTGATCAAGGAGGGCTCCTCGGTTGGGGATTCCATTTTTGTCGGGTTCCCTACTGAGTGGGAGGCGAGGGCAGCGGTGCAGGCAGCGGGGCTCATTTGGCCCCATGCCACCAGCAGCCAGTGAGGAAGTCGGGCCTCGAGCCCGGCTAGAGCCAGGTTTTGTGGTCAGGGACGGTGTGGTGAACCCAGATTACCCGTTGTGCTTCCTGGAGTTTGACTTCGAGGGAGCCCCTGAGCCCAAGACCTGTGCGGCAGTTTTGGTTTCCGAAGGAGCTGGTGGTGACCTGGTGGTGGCAGTCCCTCAGTCGATGTGGCACCGCACGATCGCTCGGCGAGCCCTTCCTGGAGGAGTTTTGAAGAAGCCTGCTCTACTATCAGTTAGTGGAGTAGCTGCTGGAGCTAGAGACGAGGAGCTCCCCCACGTAGGGATCCAGCTCTGGGTGGGATTGCTTAGCCCTTCTGAGGAGAGACGTTTGCAGGTGGTGGGGCCCGGCGAGCATCCTGAGGTGGATTTCCCTTTTGTTAGCCGAGGTGAGACTGAGGCTGAGGAGATTATCCCCTTCGGTGAGAGCATTGCTGCGGGAGCTGGGGAGCGTTTCCATTTCCTCACTGCTGAGAGTCTCGAAGAGGAGGCAGAGCACGCCCCCCCAGGCGACGTTGTTGAGGACCGTTTGGCACGGCTCGAAGAATGTGTTCGAGATCTAGCCGAGAGCGTCAAGACCAATTTGGAGGCGGCTCAGAAGACGCGGCCACAGGTTGGAGAGGAGAGAAGAGTGTCATGGCGGACACCCGGCCCAGACGGTGGTGGGTCGGGAGCCCATCGGCAGGTTGCGGCAGCTGCAGAGGTGAGGAGGAGCCGGGAGAGGTCCGGGGAGATCCAGGAGAAGAGAGAGGAAATCAGATATCCCGGTCTCGACCCGGCTGTACTCCGCTCAGCTTGCATTGCAGGTATCCCCGAGAAGCACATAGCGGAGATGGCCAAGGTCGTATCGCAGCAGCAGAGGAGCAGCCGACTGGGCGACTTCCCAGCCCCCAAGACCGTCACTCAGCGTGGAGGAGAGGCCGCAGGAGGAGACCCCCTTTCCGAGTCCGAGGAGGCAGACCCCCACGAGGCCGAAGAGGAAGAGGAGGGAGAAGGCTCAACCCCGGGTGGCTCAGTAGCTGCCGCCTTGCTCAAGCTCACCGAGATTGCATCCCACTTGTCGAAACAAAAGGCCAAGAGCGACAGCCTCGAAGTCATCTTAGACGGGTGTGGGTCGGGGCAAGGAGACGGCGACAGCAGCAGTGGTGGAGGAAAGAAAGCTCAGGCCTTGAGCGCCCTGAGGAGGGCAGTTTCCGAGAAGCCCGTCTTTCTGAGCAAGGCCATAGAAACCCAGATGGCGGCCGACTTCGCCATGCGATCTCAAGTTCCGGGTGTCCCTCAGATTCCGGTGTCCTGCCGAGGTTGGCTGGAGACAAGGTCGCGGGTGCAGAACTACCAGTCCACCATCCGCTTCTTGTGGATCATCGCCGGGATCGCCGACAGCCTGAAGGCAGGCCAAGCGGAGGAGGGCTATACTCGCGCCTTGCTAGCATTGATGGCGGGCGACCAGCTGTCGATCGACAGGGGGAACTGGTCTTTGGCGGCGGAAATGCTGATGGAGGAGAGCCCCCCGTTTTCCAGCTTCCAACACCACACCCTTCCCAGCGGCAGCGAGCAGCCTTTCACAAAGCTGGCCGATCCGAGATGGGTCAGCCTGTTGGTACATCGCCTCAGAGACATCGATGTCTATCTGGAGCAGCGGAAGAAGCTGGGAAGCCGAGGAGGAGAGGCTGCAGACCCCCAGAGGAGAGAGACCAAGCCAAAGCTCCCTGCCAAGAAGCCAGAGTGGAAGAGCCGAGCCAAGCCGCCTCGAGAAGGCGGGGGGGGCGAGGCGGGGGAGTAAACCCTAACCTCAAACCCCAGCCCGCCAAGGTGGGCACAGAGGGCCATCAGAGAAGGCCCAAACCAGGTGAGGAGAGAGGAGGAGCAAAGCCCGGGGAAGTACCTGGCTCCAGAGCGAAGCCTGTGGAGGCAGCCTGCCTTTGGGCCGCACTCCCCCGGATGTTGATGCAACGTTCGAATTCGAATAACTTCTCCCAATTTTGCCGGAGCATGACACAACGTTCGCCACCCCCTCTAGATGAGGGGACCTCAGCTATTTGGCCCATGCCTATCCCTTATCCTGAGGTCTTTTACAGACAGGATGCACAGCAGCAGAGGAGCCGCACTGAACATGGAATTCGTCAGGCAGTGAACTTAGCGGTGATCTGCCTGAACTGGCTTCATCTGGGCCGCCCAGACACGGCCCCTGCTGGTATCCGGGACCCCCGCCAGAGAACGGGCGTGCAGCGAAGAGCTGCCCGCAGGATAGAGGAGCAGCTGAGAGGTTTGCTTGTTCACCCCATTGTGACCTTTGCCGAGATGGGCCGAGTGGCCCCCAAAGTTGAAAGTTTTGAGGAGGCCGCCCAACTGTTGAAGAGCCGCGAAGAAAAGCTCCGCACAGAAGGTCGTCTAGGGTATGGAAGAGCTGCAGCAAAGGCGTGGAAGCAGGAGTTAGAGGACCCTTGCCAAGCTGAGTTCTCTCCCTACGGAGTGGTGCCTGGAGGAGGAGACTGTCCGGCCCGCCCCATCGTGGCCGACCGGCTAGAGTTTGGAGGACGTCCCAGCTTTGACCCTCGGCCCTTCATGGATGCCGACACCGCTTTCCACTATGAGTTCCCTTTGAAGGTTGCAACAGCAGAAGCAGCAGCGGAGGAGGATCCAGTGAGGACGAAGGTGTTGGGCCGTCGTGAGGAGGCCCTGAGACTCCTTGAGAAACTGGCCCAAACTGGGCGGTTAGCCCTTATGCCAGTGCGCCAGTGTCGCCAACGCTACCTCAACGGCTTGTTCGCGGTGGGGAAGGACGCTCAGCGGGATCGCTTGATTCTCGATGCTCGAGGCCCCAACATCTTGGAGCCGGGGCTGAAGAAATGGACGAAGACGCTGGGTTCAGTGTCTCCCCTGCTGCAGCTGTACCTGAGGAGCGATGAGGTGCTGGTTTGCAATGGTGCTGACCTCCGGGACTACTACTACTATTACCAGATCAGCGAAGAGCGGACAGTCCGAAACGCCCTCAGCATGATCCTTGACAAAGCGGAAGCAGACCTCCTGAAGCCTTTTTGCCCAGAAGCCAGAGGAGATGGGCCTTATCGCCCCGCTTTGAAGTCGATGGCAATGGGGGATCTCAATTCCGTCGAGTTCGGTCAAGGAGCTCATCTGAGCCTCGTCCTGTCCACGGGTTTGGTGAGTTTTGAGGAGCTGATCACGCTCACATCCCGCCCACCTCGGGGGCCCTCTTTGGTCGGGATAGTCATCGACGACCTCATCATCTTGGAGCGAGTGGCCCGCGCCACGTGGGCTGACCGAGTGGCGGGAGAATCATATGGAGCAAGGCGCCTGAGAGCCATCGGAGAGCGCTATGCAGAGGTGGGCCTTTGCCAGAACATGAAGAAGAGTTTCGAGGAGCAGACGGAGGCAAAGTTCTGGGGAGGAGAACTGGACGGCGTTGCTGGGACAATCCGGCCCAGCATGAGTCGGGTGTTGGCGGTGATCAGCATCACTACGGAGCTGGCTCGGTTGGGGGTTTGTACCCCCGCCCTCCTGGAAGTCCTGGCCGGAAGTTGGGTGTCGATTTTCCAGTTCCGGAGGCGGTTCATGTCGTTGCTGGAGGAGGTCTTCGCCATTCCGAGCCATGTTCCCCGGCGTAGCGTGGTCCCCATTTGGCCTGAGCTTCAAGCTGAACTATGGTCTTTGGTGGTTTTGGCCCCCCTGGTAGTGACCAACCTGCGAGCGGAGCCGGCCCCCTGCATCAGTGCCACTGACGCTTCAGATTCCTGGGAGGCCGAAGTGGCAGCGCCCATCCCCCTTCGGCTGGCGGAGGAGCTGCATCGACACACATTGCAAAAGCCCACTTGGACTCAAATGCTGCAGCCGGAGAAGGAGCGCTTGAGGAGGCTGGGCCGTCTCCCCCGTGAAGAGGAGCTGCCTGGTGAACCTTTGATGGTGCATCCGGTCTGGGTGCAGCTAGCGCGCAGCCTGAAGTTTGAAAATTGCTGGAGGCGGAGGATTCGGAGGAAGCAGCACATCAATATCCATGAGATGGCGGCCTTGCTAGAGGCGGAGAAGAGAGCAGGTGAGGCGCGGCCAAGATCCCGAGTTTTGGTCGCCAGCGACAGCCAGGTGGCCTTGGGGGCGCTGCTAAAGGGGCGCAGCACAAGCCGCGCTTTGAATCAGAGGTTGCGAGCAAGTCTCTGTCACGTGGTGGGGTCAGATGTGTACGCAAATGTTATCTACTTCCCCACTCTGGACAACCCAGCCGATGACCTGACTCGTGATGTACCTGTTCGCGCACCCACCGAGGCGGCCCCTGCCTGGCTTGACCAGGCATTTCAGGGGTGCTTCACCCTGCTAGATGATTTTTTGGAGGAGCGAGGTCTTCACCCGACTCAGCTCGCTGAGGTGCCAGCTGAAGCAGCCGGCGTGCGTTGGGTGGTCGAAGCTGAGGAGGCTCGTAGGGATCGGCGGCGCAGGTGGTGGAAAGAGAAACTTGTCTGCCCCCGAGGCGCAGGTCACAATGGAGGTCAGGGGAAGAACAATGATGAAGGTTTGCCGAGAGAAGGAAGGGAAGGGAGAGGAGCCCCAAGTAGAAGAGGCAGACAGAGGAAGAGGAGCAGCGAGGATGACCAGACCCCCGCAGCTGCTATGCCCACTGAGGAGCCGAGGAGAGTCGCGGGAAAAGGAAAAAGGCAGTGTGAGGAAGAGCAAGAGGTTGGCCAGACCCCCGCAGCAGCCGCGCTAGCAGACAGCATGATGAGAGGACGAGGTCAGACCCCCGAAGCAGCCGCCCCCACTGAGGATCCAGCTGCTGAAGCCACCACAGAGGAGGCGGAGGAGCGGAGGCTTCCCGTCCCCAAGGGCCCTACCCTGAGGCGAGTGCGAGGCCGGCCTCCGCGGGGATATACCCTCAGCGCAGAGCAGGCTGCCAGAGTCGCTGTGTTCTCTGAGAAGCAGTTTGTCTTCCCAAAGCACAGCCCCTGCTCGCGCCAAGGTCTCCTTCGAGCGGCTGGGTTTCTGGACTTGTACTCCGGGAGCTTGGGAGTAGCACGAGAACTGGCAGCCCTCAGTGGTTGCTGGGTTTTGACCTTTGACTACGCTCGGAGCCCGGAGGAGGACCTGCTGAACGAAGGTCTTCAAAAAGTGCTGAGAGGAGCGGTTGCTGCTGGAGTTTTCCTTGGAGTAGGAGGCGGACCAGTTTGTTCCTCTATGTCTAGGGCGGTCCGCCCCCCAGTGCGCTCGAAGCTCTTTCCAGCTGGGCTGCCCGATGTGCGAGAAAGCATGCAGAGGAAGGTTAAGGAGGGCAATGGGCATGCCGCTTTCTCTGCTGGCATGGCGGCCCTTTGTCACCAGTGCGGTGTTCCGCAGTGGTGGGAGAATCCAGCCATGTCTTTCTTGTGGGTGCAGCCTTGCTGGGTTGAGGTGATGAGAGCGGACGAAGGCGCCTTTTTCACGGTAGATTACTGTGTTTTTAGCACCCCTTGGCGGAAGCATACCCGCATCTACACAGACACTTCGTTGAGGGGCTTGAAACTGGAGTGCAGAGGAGGCCACAGTCATGTGCACCTGAAAGGGTATTCGGCGAAACATCGCCGTGCGTGGACGAAGGTGGCGGAGCCCTATCCCAGAGGTCTCAACAAGCTCCTCGCCTACAGCTTGGCTGAGAAGTATTTGCCTGTCGCTGAGAAACTGGTTTTGGACTTTGGGGGCATGCAGCTGGGTCATCGGCGAGTGGGCGAAGCAAAGAATCCTGGGCCTACTGCCACAGCTCAACTGTTCAGCCTAGAGGAGGTGGCTCTGGTTTCCCGGTCCACTCAAAAGTTGCAACGGCAGGTGCTGGACGAGTTTGACCTTTGGATGAAGCAGCGTTTCACCGGCCCAGCCCTAGCCTCCCTTAGATCCGATGCCATGGTATTTTGCGCCCTCGTACGAATGTTTGGGGACTGGTCTTTTCAACAGGGATTTCCACTTTATAAGTACCGGCAGCTTTTGGCCTACCTGCAGAAGAACCGGATCGAGCTTCGAACTGGCATGCCTCTGTGTTGGGACCTCTTGAACCGCTGGGAAAGAGTTCGGCCCCCTGTTCACCGGCATCCAATCCCCAAAGCTGTTTTCGAGGCGATCATGGCGGTGGCAGTGCACTGGAGATGGTTCAGGTGGTGCGCCGTTGCCGGCTTGGCCTTCTGCTCGGCCAGGCGAACCACTTCGAGCTCTTCGGTCGGACCTGGTACTGCCTTCAGACCTGTTGGACGTGGACTTGAAGGGGTGTTTTCTTCAGGTGCGCAAGCCGAAGTCAGGATTTCGGGGCCGTGGAGTTATACAACATTGCAGTATTAAGCACTCCGGTTTTGTGGCGTTTTTGGAGCAGCACCTGAGTACAGTTCTCCCTTCTGAACAAATTTACCCGGGGTCTGCACACGCTTTTCGCAACAGATGGAATGCAATTCTAGCTGCTTTGCATATACCTCGTGAAGCCCGTTTTACACCTGGCGGTTTGCGTGGTGGTGGTGCAGTGACCGCCTACCACAGTGGGATAGCAATATCGGACCTGCTGTGGAGGATGCGTCACCGACACCAAGTCACGTTGGAGAACTATCTGCAGGAAGTTTCGGCCCTCTCCGCCCTGCACTCCCTTCCGGCAAACGCATTAGAGGCCATTCGGGCCTCTTCTGCATTTTTCCCTTGTTACTTTGGCAGCAGCGCTTCCGGCTAAGCAGCGGACTTTGTCAACGGTGTTACGGCGCCATCCATTGCTGTTGGGCCGTCTGGCATGTTTGGAATCCTGGTGCACTTCACTGCGGTCACCTCTGCTTCTTTTGGGCTGAGAGCCCCGGTTTTTGGAGCGGTGGGAAGGTGAAGCGGTGGCGGCGCTGGACTCTCACACAGACTGCAAGGCGGTGTCAGCCGGAAAAGCGCGGCGGCAGGGGGAAAGGGAAGGAGTTGCATGTTCCACGCATGCACTCTTGACCTTGAGACCGAACGCAGTTTGTGCTCTCCCACCCGCCCGCCCTGCCAGCGCCATCCTGGTGCACTTCACTGCGGTCACCTCTGCTTCTTTTGGGCTGAGAGCCCCGGTTTTTGGAGCGGTGGGAAGGTGAAGCGGTGGCGGCGCTGGACTCTCACACGGAAAAGCGCGGCGGCAGGGGGAAAGGGAAGGAGTTGCATGTTCATGGGATGGGTTCCCTTTGAACCGCCATGAATCTGCACAATTTATAGCTCACCGGATGAAACGAGCTCACCATGGTAGAGCTCCTTTAGGTGACCCCTGAAAATTCTGAAAGTTTGGAACTCTTGCAACATTGTTGCTGAACCTGGCCGCTGTGTTGTCATTCCTTCAACTCATTCCATCGGAAAGTTGCTGCGCTCTTTTCTTTGGCCACCCCCGAGCCACTCCCAAGCTCCCTAAAAACTCCCCCCCCCCCAAACTCCCCAAAGCTCGGCGCACCCCCCCCCCCCAACTCCCTTTTCAGCTCGACGCCTCGGCGCACCGAGCCCCGGCGTCCCATCGCCATCGAGGCGCGGCCGGGGCCGCGGCCTCCGTGAGCTTCGCCGGGGCGCAGCACGCGGTGGAGCTCGCGGCGCAGGTGCTGCACGGCGGCACCGGCGGCGTGAGCCCGGGGCGCCCAGTCGCCCGCAAGCGCCAGTGGAACAAGGGGCGAAAAAGGGGAAAAACCGGTGGCAAGAAGGGTGAGAAAAGGGGAAAAAGACGTGGCAAAAGGGTCAAAAAAAGGCAAACACATGTGGTAAAAGGGGTGAAAAAGGAAAAACGACGTGGCAAAAGGGCGGAAAAATTGGAAAAGACGTGGCAAAAGGGGTGAAAAGGGAAATAAACGTGGGCGATGTTGGGGGAGTCTCAAAAAATGACTTTCGGTCGCGGTTCTTTAGAGGGGACCCAGCTTGACCCATGGAGTTCAAGGAAATATCAGGGCCCCCCACCCCCGGCCCGCCGCCCCCTTGCCAAAGCAGCCTCCAAGTCCCCTCAGGTCATCCCTAGTGCCCTTTTACCCTTTTTTGGGGAGGGTTGCCCTACTAAAATAGACTACAGAAAAAAAAGGTACCAACTTATTCTAACCTCTCCACTGGAGGACCTAGGAGTGCTCCCCCCCCGCCTATTTCCCCTCATGGTGGTTTCCCTTGGTTTCTATGGAGTTTGCCCTTGGTTTCAAAAGAAACCATCTGGAAACCAATGGAGGCCCTGTCCCAGCCACGCAGTTGTCCCAAAGCCTTCCTTGACGTTTGGTCGCCGTTTCCGGCGCAGCACGTGTGCACTTTTTGTTGCGTGCGATCATGTAGCGGATGCGTGCACACAACTCTTGTGGGGAACAGCATGTGGCCGTGTTTTGCTTTGTCCATTGGTTGGTAAGAAAATAGAGCACTAGCGGAGCCCCATTCTGGCCTGCCGACTTCATGGTTATCAGCATTCAGACCCGGGCCGACTGCATGTTCGCTCACAGTCAACAGAGGTGGCAGTAAGCCGTTGACCTCTTTCACCACAAGAAACAATGTTCGAAGCAGTTGGCATCTGGCCATGGTTCAAAACCAATGGCATCCCATTTTGGGATAGGTGCACCACCCATTTTAGAACCTGTTTTAGTGGGGATTGGGATGTTCACTGGGGGTATGGGGTTTTGACCCATGGCCATCTCGAGTTAGTTGGGGCGAGTGAACATTGAATTCTCTGGGCTGCTTGGCTGTGGCTATGCTGGAAGTTTGCGGAGGCTGCAGCACAGCAGACAGTGGCTTTACTGGCAGCTTGGTGACTCGGCTGAATCCAGCAGAATGGGGCATCCGGGTTGAGTGGATTGCCAAAAGTCCCGGCTCAACATACATCGCCCATTGAGACTGAGACGCTAGGGGTGTAAGATGGTGGTAGAGCAGTGAAACCCTTCAATGGCAATGTTCAGTAGAGCAACTGTCGCGGCTGTTTTCCGTGATGAACAACCTTCTCATATGGAGGGGGGGGGGATTCTCAGAATGGTGATGGGTGTCCTTTCGGCTCCTTTAAATAGCAAGCAAAAAGGGGTCCATGCCTACCATTTGGAGAAACTCCGGCCATATGGTTTTACTTGCCTTGTTTCACATGACCGGAGTAGCTGTCTCATGCATGGTTCAGATCATGTTTGTCCCTTGGGGTGTCCGTTGAGTCTTCGCCAAACGGGACGAATGACTTGCTCATAAAGGGAACAGGCCTGTAGCCTAGCTCCAACATCTGTTGCTTGTGTTCAAGAGGCAACGGGTGACGGGCAGGTTTTCCCTGCCTCAGGAAAGAAAGGGATTGAGCGTGGACCTCGGTCATCCATCAACAAACCCGAATGGCACCTGGTGTTGACGCGGTCATCAGTCCCAACCATACACAATATGTGCAGCAATCCCTGTTGAGTCTTACGGCGGACTCCTGTAGGCCAGAAACCCTCCCGCCAAACATGGCTCAATGCACAGGAACACATTCCAAGATTTTCCAAGAGGTTCGTCTTCCGAAGGGGGGCGCATCGAACCACGTTTGTTGGTGGGAGAGTATTGACTCTAACTCACATCCAGGCTCCCCCAATGGCTGTCAAATGCTTTGTTCTGCGACCTTCGGGCTATTTTCAGGGTTGGACAGCCAATTCGGCGGCTGCTACAACCCACCAAGTCTGTTACCACGGCTCTAAAGCAAACCCACATCCACCCCCACGCCCATTTTTCGTCCCAGCCCCTTCACGCCCAGATTTTCCTTGGACTCCTCGGCATCCAAGGGGTCGCCCGGGTCGCCGTTTCAGAAAAAACGACTCGACGCGTGTCACCCGTCGGCAGGAGCTCAGCTGCAGCGACGGGGTGTTGTCACAGAGCTCCCAGAGCTGCACGGAGCGCGCCTGCGAAGAGGACGGCGGACTGCGCGGGTTGCACGGGTTTTGTTGGGTGAGGTTGGTCAACGGGAAATCAAACGGGTGCCGTTTACATGGGATGACCATTGGTTGGAACACCACAAAGATGATAGTTCCACTTCGCTGCTTATTTTGGGGCCAGGAATACTGATCAACCCCCAAGTCAACCCCGAAAGGAGCACTCCTTTAATATTGTCACGGGGGGTCACTAGGGTCACTGGGGTCGCTAGACTAGGGTCACTAGGGTCTCTGGTTCTCCCCATCCAAAATGATCAACCAACAGGGCCCCCGTTTGACCGTGCGGGTAGGTTAGTAGGGCACTGGGTTTCCCTGCAAAGCATATTTTGCAGGTCGGTGTTTTCTTGAGGCAGTCTCTCAGTTGCTCGGGGAGTTTCTGAAAAATGGTTTTGACCACCTGTTGGTTTGCAATTGCTGCTTAGAGAAGCACGACATGTGAGCAGCGCTAAGAACGGCGCAAGCCAGCGTAAGCACTTTTCGGGGAAACACGCTGCGTAAGCACTCACGGAAGCTCTTCTTCGTGATTGTTTGGTAAGCTTGTTAAGCATGCTTGGAAGAGTTGTTTCACACATCTGCTTATGTGTTTATTGGTGGCTTGTGCTGTTTAATCTAGTCGAGATTGGCAACTTGCCGGAGACGTCTTAGACCGCATGTGCGCATCACTTTGATTGGGAGTTCTTGGGGCTCATGCCAGGTGCTGTTGAAATCTTTACTAGGACAAACAAAGGCTTCTGAAACCGCGGATTTAGCAAAACTAAAGGGGCGCGGGCACGTAAGCTCGAGCAAGCAGGCGCGTGGTTCGCGTAAGCTCGCGTATTTCGGCTGCCTGCTAGCCCTCGCAATGGGTGTCGCCGCATAAGCCGTTTCTTGACCTGCAGTAAGAACAACAACGCCAAGCCACTGGAGCTCGTGAGGGTAGCTCTTCGTAATCTTCTTCCTCAGAGTCATCCATGTCATCTTGAACAGTTCTGGCGGCTGCATGGGAAAAGGAGCCCGCGTAAGTGATGCGTAAGTTTAACATGCTCGCTGACTACCGCTTAAGCTAAAACATGGGTCGCGCAATTTGAGACAAAATAGGGATTCATGGGAGGTTTATATAGAGTCGCTCATGTTCTCGAGGTTTCTCTCGTGCAACGTTTTGGAGGGGACGTTGGGTGGTGGGGCTTCCCCAACAGGAATCTTTCGACATCCTCCGATATCCTCCGATCCGTTGTGTGCCCGGGTGGACCCTGACCGGTTCAAGCTTTCAGTGACACATGGCCATGCTTCAAGACTGTTCGACGCCAGTTTTTGCATGCTGGTTTTTGAACCGCCCCTTCTTTTTATCCTGGTTTTTAAACCTCCAGAGGTGTCCAAAGCCATCTTCAGTGGATTGTTTCCGGGTTTTTCTTTGGGGCGACTCCTCTCCAGCGGATTTTTCCCGGGTTTTTCGCGCCTCTCCCCCCCGTCCCTCCCGAGCCCCGAGCCCCGAGCCCCGAGCCACGGGGGGCCCCGCCAGGGCCTGGGCTACCAGCTGCAGCTGGCGGGCGAGACCTCCAGCCGCGCCCTGGCCGCGGAGGCGCGGGGTCGGAGCGCGGGGGATCCGCCCGAGAGAAACGCGCCGCTGGATGGGACGGGAACATTAGACTTGACACCTTCAACTAGAAGAAAGGAAAGGTAGGGTTTGGGGGGGTGACCGTATATATATATATATATTATATATATATATATGTATATGGTCTAATGTTTGCCCACAGATTCATCAACCACGGTTTGAGTTAGTAAAAGAGTTTTTCCCTGGTTTTTGTGGGGATTCATCCACTTTTGGAGGGGAGGGAATCTAAGGTTGACCAGGGATTCATGTTGACCCGTCCCATTGGGGGGGCGTTCCCTCCAACAGTGGCCTGAATCCAACCACTAAAAGGGGGCAGCCCCTATTAATCAACCAGGGGTTGGTGCGGTGGGGTAGTCTATGGTTGGTTGGCAAGGGAAGCCAGATGGAGACCACTTCTGGGTCAGCCAGCTAGGTGCGAGACCTTTCTCACCCCTTTTTGGGGGGGAGGGGTCCATCAACCCACGAGTTGAGCTTTAGGTACAGGCGAGCCACTTGCTCAAAACCCGGGTAGATGAAGGTTAAGGGGCCAGTCAGAAATAGTTGCGGAGATCCGGCTTCTTAATTCTTGAAGCATGGTTCTGGGACTAGGTCCTTTAGCCAGGTGCCTTTTCTTGAACCCTTTTTTTGGGGGAGGGTTCCCCTAAAATCGACGACAGAAAAAGTTGGTAGCCTTATTCTAGCCTCTCTACTGGAGGACCTAATTGGATATGTACAGGTGGTTGGCCAATCCACTCAAGCCGTTTGGTTAGGTGTTGGTGGGCAGTGAATGGACCAAATCCTGGCGACTGAAGTGATCCCAGGAGTCGATTCGGGGTTGAGAAGCTGGTGTATCCCATAGGATTCAAATCAGGGAGTCATCCAACTGTGCAACGGTCAAACCCTCCAAGGACCACTTCTAGGTCCCCCAGTAGTGCCCTTTTACCCTTTTTGGGGGGGTAGGGTTCCCCTACTAAAATAGACTAAAGAGAAAAAAACGGGTACCAACTTATTCTAACCTCTCCACTGGAGGACCTAGACTTTATCAAGGAGTGGACATGAGGTGCTCAGAAACGTGGGGCAAAACCTGGAGCAGCGATAGGCTTTCTCCAAGGCGATACTTGTGATGCACTTGTACTACAAACATAGGTGTCCTTTTTGGTTGTTTTGATCGAAAAATAGATGGCGATTCCTGGTTTACCTGGTGGTTTAATCATCTACCAGGGCCATCTATTTGCCCTAAAAGGACGCCTATGACTACAAAGTCGCGATTCTCGATCTAGAGAAGCAGACTGGTTGTGGACCATGTGGATAGGATCGACTGCCCGGTTCAATTGAGTTGCTCCCCTGCATTTTTGCTTTTCAAATGGGTGGGTTCCATGGATCGTCTTTTAAATCCCTGAAAAAGAAACGTTCGGCAAAATATAATAGATTCGCATATACATCCATTGTTCGAATCTCCTAACAGCAATTCCCTTTTCTTGGGTTCCATCCCTCATCCAAAAGCGTGGAAGCTCCCGTCCCAAACCCCTTAAGAGGAGCCTTCAGTGGCTTCCATGCTTCCGGGTATTGCCTAAGAACACCTCGAAGCCACGGAGCAGTCGTCCGATCCAAAGGTTTGGATCGGTGGTTCTCTAAAAAGCGGCTGGGGCTGGGCAGAAAGTCTTTTGCCTTTCGGGGAAAATGGTTCGACCCCGTAGTGAAGGATTCTTTTTTGTTGGGGTCGCCCAATTTCTCAGAAAAGGTGGCAAAACGACTTGTTTGGGGGCTGGGCAGTTGCTGTGAACCATGAGTAAGTAGCTTAAACCTGGGCTTGGAGCCACTTCATCAGGCCAAGGTTAGAAGCCAACTTGGGTGTTGGAACCACTTAGTAGCTTCTAACCTTGGCTTGCTTGACGGCTCTCCATTTGAATTGGGCGAGCATCAAGTTTGTCAAATTCTCACCACTCACCGCAAATTCAAAAAAAAACACTCACTCCCCGGCTCGCTAAAATGGCCAAAGCCAGTTCCAACCTTTTCGGTTGCGGCAGTGGCCTCCAAAGGTTTGCCGAAAGTTCTCAACGGAGCTCCACGCTGTGAAACCACGCGGCTCCGTGGAACCCGAACCGCGGACTTCCCGTGCCCATGCCGACGTTCGCGTCGCTTCCATGTCCAATCGACGTAGGAAGTCGCAACCCATGGCTATGACTGGGACGCGGGGTGGTCGCCTTTAATTGTTCTTCCCATTCCGTATGTCCCTGCAAAAGGCAGCTTAGACTGCACAGTTTGACACATTTGGTCCAGACCTGAGGTGCGAAACAAGAGTTGTAAATGCGGGACTCGCGCCATGACCGCTGGAGGTGGCGCATGCCGGCACCGTGACCGCAACCTGCGCCTCAGTTGCGGGCTCAGGACGACCATTAGCTGCAAACACTGTGCTTGTACAATAGGCCCGTTGGACGGGGACCCTTTTTCCGACAGTTGTTTTCCCCTTCGCCTCCAAACAATGGGCCGATTTTTCACGCCCAAATGTTTTGTATACACAGTACTATGATACTATGTGTATATATATATATACATAGAGAGAGAGAGATATTGCTAGTACTATGTATATATATATATACATAGAGAGAGAGAGAGAGAAATTGTTTGTGTGTGTGTGTGTGTGTTTCGGAGACCCCTAAACATGGATCAAACCGGGTAAAGTAAGTTCTTTTGGCTTGCCCTCTGAGCACCGACCCAGAGGGAGTCTATCCAGCGCGCTCGCTCAGGTTGCGCCGGCCTGGGATAATGAGATCACGGACCTGGCCTCAGCCGATCGGTCACCTGGTCACCTGGGTTGACAGACATTCGAAGATTTGATTTTGGTCGGGGGTTCCGAATCTGAGACTAAAAAATAGTATGTTAAGTTTGTCAACCCGATCAAATCCCATCTCTGGGTACTGAATCAGACTAAAACATGTTGGAGAAAGCCCGAGCCATGCCTCTAGCAGTACCCTCCCCATGCTCTTCAGGCATCATTCTCTTCAAAGAATGGGCCAAAACGATGGAAAACGAGCGGTTTCCAAAGAGAACGACGGGTGAAGAGAAGGGTTGCACCGAGTTTGACTGTACCCGGTTGCCCACTTGTTCCCGGTTCCTGTGTCTTTCGGGGCAGGTTCTCCCTTTCAATCCAAGCAAAAACTACAAGTCATCCTTCAAATCCATTTGAGTCACAATCAAACTCTGCAGGTAAGTACAGGTTAGGGGAAGGTCCCTATCGACATGATTATGGATGGACCCCTTTCGTTTGGATTGTGACTTACCCTACTTACCCTTCAAGGGACCCCCTGTCAGGTTGGATGTTTATTGGGCGGGTAAGTAAAGTCCACCTTCTTGATTTGGACCCCTTTAGTCTGGCTTGTGACCTTAAGTTAAGGAGAGGTGGTTCATTCGCTGCTTTTCTTTCTGTTTTTCAAAAATCCGCTCTGAGGCAAAGCGCCACGGGGCCAGGTCTAAGGGCCCAAATTCTGACACACACCCTTTGAGAATGGGGCGGGGTGGGTGGAGATGACCCATTGCAGTGGCGATGTTTGAGGCTCGGTGCCCGAAACGGGTTGGTTGATATCTGGCCCCTTTCATGTGGGCATTTCACCGGTTCACTCGTGGAACGTTCCTTTTTCCAGGGTGCGGTTCTCCTTTAATTTCAGTTTCGCAAAGGTATCATCCAGAATGCAGCAAAGTGTCAATTGAAAGCTGCAGGTCACTTGCATCAAGGGCGGTCTCTCTGCGGACTACTCTGCTTGCAAGCAAGCTTGCTGCGGCCTCAGCGCTTTCGTTCGCGGCCAAAGCAGAAGGACTGCTGGGGATCCTTGACTCGCGCCTTTCCCCAAGTGAGACTGATAAATAGTTGGCAGTCCGGTTTGTTTTTGACACCATCCTAAGGGATCCCGAATTTAATTCGGACACCTTCACTATGTTTGTGAGCCATGGTAATGTTTGTTCCCCGAACACCTGCGGAACTGGATTTGAGGCTACCCTTCCTCTTACTAACATAGCACCTGTCAGAGGGTACCTGGAAGATCAAGTTCCTCCTCAAGGGGCCCTCTGTCAGGTGCCGGTTTTTGTGGGAGGGAGGGCACCCGTTTTTGGGGCTGGTTTGAACGGACACCAAAAGGACGCCAGCCATTCTTAGAGGTGTTTAACCAAGCAGACGCGCCTTCGAGGCCTCACCACGGACAGCGGGGACGTGAGCCTCGGGCCCAACACTCACTCAGTGCGCGGCCCAGCGGCGGCAGGAAAGTTGGGTTGGACGAAAGTTGGGAATGCTTTCCTACTGTGGATGGGCGAAATCGTGCACCACTCTGAAACCGTGGGAAACTCTTGTTTGTGGTATTTACAAAGGAATTATGATTCCAGGATTTCTTAGGTGGTGCAGGATTTCGTCCATCCACAGTAGGTCCCCCAGTGGTGCCCTTTCTCACCCCTTTTTTGGTTGGGAGGGTTACTACAATAGACCACAGAAAAAAGACGGTACCCTTATTCGAACCTCCCTTCTGGAGGACCTAGTTTCGTGATTTGCAGCGTCCACGTTGTGTGTCTCACTGTTTGGTCGGTCAAAGACTCAGCATGTCGCCGTTGGGTCGCCTTTTGGAAGCAACGTTTGCAACCAATAAGGCGCCCGTGGGAACGACAAACGAATTGAAACCCCATTGAAGACCTGGGACTTTTGGAGAAGAAGCAGAAATCAGAAATCCTGTGTGTCCTGCATCACATTTTAAATCAATTCCTTGGATTGACGCGGGTTTAACCCGGGGTCAAGGCGGGTCAGCCAGTCATAGTCTGTCCATGCTTGCTGAGTCACTTTGTATGATACCAAGGGAATCCAGGCATGAGCTTGGGACTCCCGCGTCGGTATTGCAGGTTTCGAGTCACTGGCCACACCATGGCTACGCCCAAAGGAAACCTCCAAATCTATCGAATCTCACTACCAAACTCTCAGTTGCCCCAGAATTAGAGAATGGATTACTTCCATTTGCTTAAGAATATTTGTTATTCTCCCCTGTTGGTCACCACTGGAAATATTGTTATTTTTGCCAGGGGGCTTAAGCAAATGGCAGATGAGGTAGGTCTGGTTGTACAACACAGTCAGTCAGTATCCATGAGTCGGCCAGTCAGCCAGTCAGTCGTCATGTTGCGCTTCGGCATTATCCAGTCATGAATCATGCATGGTTCTGGAGGAAAGGAATCTCCACGAAAATGGCCAAGACACCCAGTGGCTCTTGGGGGGTATCCCTTCAGAATCACTTTCATAGGAGTCCTTTGCAGGTGATGATGAAATGGGGTTTGTTCCATTTACCAGGGCCATCTATGTTACCAAAAGCAGACCTATCGGCGCTTACCAAAGAAACAGGTCACCCATCGTGGAAAAAGGACTTCCCGTGTCGAGGTGAGCCCGGCCAGCCGCATGGCCGACGGGGACAGTGCCACGAAGCAGTGCTTGGTGACGCCGACATGGTGAGAAGAAGACGGGCTGAAGTCTCGAACGGCCCCATGGGAATGTTCACCTACATGGGTGTCCCACTAAATGGGGACAAAATACCCAAGGTCATTGGGGAGCCAGGAGATTTGATCAACCCCTATCATATTACGATATGTATTTATGGTGGGTGCAGTCAATCCTTTTGTTGGGACTGGGTGTTTTGGAGGCGAACCCCTTTTAGGGAGAATGTGGAATGGATTGGGTTTTGATTGTCACTTTCTTTGAGTGGCCGAGGTGCGGGGTCCCCTTTGAATTGAAAGTAGTCGCTTGGATTGGAGTCCTAATTCTTCAGATTGCTCCAGAGTACCTGTTGCTTCCCTTACACCCCTACCAAGATGGACCTCAAGAACTCTTGTTCCTGGAGACAACTCCTTTTGGGATGGCAGGATAGCAGTTTCCCATCCTTTGCAACCATCGTTTTCACACATTTGCCACGTTTCCTGGGCTTTTTTTGTCGTCTTTTCTACGTTAATTGCAGTCGCAGTCGGATGGTTGGCGACACAGCCCATGCCTGGGGTCTCCTGGCCAACGATTTCATGCTTTAGGGTATGAAGGTATTCGTTTCTGTGCACCGCAGATGTGCAGCTAGCCCTCAATTGCTGGTTGGGATTGGTGGTGGCTTGGGGATTTCAACCCCTTCCTGAGCGGAAATGGGGGGAAACCACCCAATCTCCACACCTCCAAAAAACCAATCCAAATCCAAACCTCCAATGTCTCAAAATTGGGGGGAATCCCCCCCAACTGGCAGTTCTCCTTTTGATTTCCCTAGGTCCTCCAGTAGTGCCCTTCTCTCCCCTTTTTTGGTTGGGAGGGTCTCCCCTACTAAAATAGACTACAGAACAAAGAAACGGTACTCTTATTCTAACCTCAAACTACTGGAGGACCTAGTTCCCCTTAAAGCCAGCGTGAAAAAAGCGCCCAAGAGCTGAGATGCCCTTGCCAGGACCTAGGTGTGGAGCATGTCGGCACCATGACGGACTGAGCCTCAGACGTTGCTCTTGTCACGAGCGCGAGACGAGACAGTCCCAGGAGTGGAACTTGGGCCCAGGAATTTGACCTTAAACAATTTAGGGTTTAGGGTTAGCCGGCCGAATGGCTGCGTTGGATGCAGCTGGTTTTGGGAAGGACCTAAGGAAGCCTCTTGTAGGAACCCAAACGCGGACTCCCGCGTCCAATTCGCCGGTTGTCAGTTGATGCCCCCGCCATGTGACTCGACCAATGCACTGAGGTCAGCTGCAGTGGGCACCTCAAGCATCAGCTTGGCCATGAACTTGAGTTGGAACCACCGCAATGGATACGAAGTTATCTTGGTGCGATAGGGAATGATCCGGAAGGGATTCCCTGAAAAGAAAAACGCACCAGTTGGATGGTTTGTCTTGGGGTCATTCCATTTCTCATTCCCCGCGGAGCGCCAGCAAGTTATACAGTTGGGTGAAAGTAGATGGCACAAATCCAACCATTCATCCCTCTTGTTTTTTCCCCACAAGGGAGTTGTGCCAGCCACCCTGGTGCCGGGGTATGACTCCTGAACTTTATACTTTTGGGAAGGCAAGATTGCTTCTTAAGGGGGGCGATCCACTCAGCAAGTGAGGGTGTGTCTCCAAATGGAGTTCATGCAGCAAATGCGGCGATAGTCAGCTCAAGTGATATGGGTCTTGCCTTTCGTTCTAAGGCACCCCTTTCAAGTTTTGAAATTAGCCAAAGGAAAGCTAGGTCCCCCAGTAGTGCCCTTTCTCACCCCTTTTTTGGGGAAGGGTTCCCCTACTAAAATAGACTACAGAAGAAAAAACATCGGGCACCCTTATTCTAACCTCTCTACTGGTGGAACTAGAACTGGGACAAACCACCTACCACCTGGTGCAGGATTTGGTCCATCCGTAGGTCGCTCACCTGGGGGCCCTGGGGGTACAATGAGCTGCGTGATGCAGTTCCTTTACTTGGACCCCCCTAACCCCCCTAACCCCCAAAGTACCCACCCCAAACCCACAAATTCAAGTACCCACCCCTTCTCCGTTTTGGGTTGGCTCCCCCTTCCGTCAGCACGTGGCCGCATGGCGCGCACGCACCTCGCCGTCCAGCGCGTGCCAAGGCATGGGCGAGGTGTCGGAGGCTTAGTACCCAACTCACTGCCTGCTTACCTTCCATTTGCCTAAGAACATGTTTTATTTTCCCTGCTGGTTTTAAAGGGTATCTGTCACTACTGGAAGTTTTTGTATTTTTCCCAGTGGACTCAAGCAAATGGAAGTTACATCCACGCTCTGGCTGGGCCAAGGAATCCCTCGGTTCATTTTGACAGCAGGACGGTGGTCGTGGAAGTCAAAACCCGCTAAGGAGTGTGTAACAACTCACCTGCCCGAATGGACTAGCCCCGAAAATGGAGCGATAGACTTGCTGACTTCTTGGTGGTAGACTTGCTGACTTCTTAGTGATAGACTTGCAACAAATCACGGCTGGGGATCCCCGATTAGGGCATTTGCGTTTGTCAAAACTGGGCATTGCCAGTTTATAGAAATTGTTTCTTGCAGGTTCCATTTGGTTGAATCTCCACCGAAACCACCACAATGCGTTGCTTTTGGTCTTCTTTTTGTCCAATCCCTTCTGTCTGTTTTTTTCCGCTTTCCTTTTTGGCTTGCCCTTGGCCACCGTCGAAACAAACTGTGAGGAGGATCCGCCCGCTATGTGGGTTGGGAGTTGGGGGGCTTGTGTGGAAAGGTGACCCATTTTGGGACAGCCGCCCAGGCATGCATATTGGGATTTAGGGTTCTCACAAAATGAACCTAGTTGCCCATTTTGTCACCAGCTCACCGATCCGAAAATAGAACAAACTCACCATGATGAAGGGACTCACCATGGCTTACCTGGGTTCCTAATCTCAGGCTTTAGGATGATTGTAAGTAGATATCCAAGATGCTGTTTTCTCAGGCACAGTTCCCTCAAACCAGGGGCAGTTGATGGGCAACTGCCGATCCAGGCAGGTTTCGCAGATCTATGTTGGGTTGCCTAACCCAACCTGCGCCCAGAACTCCCATCGGTCATAGTAGGTGGTTCTACTACTTGTTTAACTTGCTGGTGCACGCAGGGAAGGAGGGAATGACCCCAATGAACCATCCCTTGTGGTTTCCTTTAAGGGGACCTCCAGGTTCATTCCCTCATTCCCTAGTGAGCACCAGCATGTTAATTGCGGTTGGTTCTACTAACACGAAGCAACTCGTATATATAGGGGAATTCCGGCAAGTCTTCCTGTTGGTTCCCTATATCAGCTTCCCTCTAGTCGGTGGTTTGGATTGGTGGTTTGGTTCAGGAAGGGGATTGCTTCAATGGAGTTTGAACGCTGCTCAGCTTAGGAGCATCGCCAGCTCCTGCTCGGTGGGCTGCCCGGCCACTTTGACGGTCCAGGCCATCCCGATCATCCGTTCCGCTCATCGGCTCTTTGGGCAACGCTGGAGATGCCAAGTGCGGGGAGCTGTACTTCTCTTAGACTGCCCCAAAAACCTCCAGAGGGTTGCTTTCTTGGTGTCATTTGTGTAGAGAGATCAAGCATTTTGTGTCTTCTAGCGTCTTTCTTTGTGTCCCTCGAGAATCAAGACGCAAACTTTCTTTGTGTCTTTTGTGTAGAGAGATCGAAACAGTCCCGCGAAAATCAAGACGCAGAGGGTGCGGTTTTTGCGACCGCTGCCAACAGTGGGTTGACACCTTTGACACGGAACTCCCCGTTTAAACAACCCAACAAAAACGTACCCGCAATAGAAAGACGCCCATCTGAAGGGTATAAAGCCACATTTACCAAGAAGCAGCATACCCAGGAGTACAGGGTGTAGGCTGGTATAAAAAGGTTGGGTTGTACAAGAATCCAAAGGCAGTTGCGTCCTTGCCCGGGAAAGACCTTAGCTCAACTTTGGATATTTTTCTGCAACCCAACAAATACCAACATCTGGGTCGGACATCGAAGAACATAGTTGGCTTTTGGTCATGACTGTCTGTGAATGGCCAAGGCAAGCCCCTTTAAAGCGAGAAACACGTCACGAGGTTGACAATTTTGTAATCTCACTCTGGCATGCCAAATATGTTTTTTGTCAGGAGTGTTCCTGTATGTGTGTGTGTGTGTGAATGTGTGCCCTTAGACGCCCTACACGCGTTTGTCATATGGTTTGATAGAGTTCAACATGGCGACCTTGCAGTTAGCATCCATGTGGAACCTTGCTTGAAGCCCAGCGTAGGATTTCGTGTACGCACGAATTCCTTGGTGCCATTGCCTTTTTTCCAACTCAATTCATTTTTACTAAATACCTTTCTAATATAATTTATTCTATAAGCACTATTATCTTCATGCAAACTATTATCATTATCAATTAATATTTTAACACGTATTTTATTAACAACAAATCTTAAATCAATTGAATTCTCTCCTAAAGAAATGGGTATGGTTCAAAAACTAATCCACCAGGGGACCGCAGGTTTTAGTCTTGGTTTCCATGTACCTGGGTTGCATTTGGGCTCGGATGGCCCGGCTTTGGTATCGCAAGGGGTGATTTTCCACCGCCGTCAGGCCTACAGCACAGATCTGTCGCTTGGAGCACGGGACCCCGGGACGTGGAGCCCTGAAACCCCAGTCGCAAAGCGGTTTTGGACCCGCCATGTTGTTCCATGTGCGGAATATTGTTTGCGTCCCTGTGGTTTTAAACAACACTGCTGCATTGATGTTAGGCATTTTTCTTTCCAGTTGCTTCATAATAGAGTTTGTTTCCCGCTGACTTTATAGGAAATCCAGCGCAGGTTTTGCTCCAGGGGACTCCAGCAAATGGAAGAAACTGTTTTGGAGCCACTTGCCATACAAGTCAAACTGTCCAACTCTGAGCCACTCGGCCACAGGGCGCTCAGATTACCTCAGCCTTTTGTCTGTAGCGCCGCCCGCTGGAAAGAAAACAAAAAAAATATCCTTGATTCATCCCACTTCCTGTTGTTCAGCACTTTTTTTGGCCTGTGACATGAAGTGCAGCCAGCCAGAGTTTGCCAAACACCCTGCGCAACTTCCGAAACGGTGACGAACTTCCGGAGGCTCAGATGCGCGCAAAACCGCATCTGAGGCCCCCGTGCTGCATGGCGAGAACACCACTCTGGAGCCGGGGTGGGCCCTTTCTGGGTGCCTCAAAAGCGTCCCCTTTGTGCAGTCTTCGGAAGTGATTCGTTCCTGTCCTTTCTGTTTTGGACGCGTTTGTTTGGAGGGTACCCATGTTGAAGCGGGTTAAGAAAACAGGGAAACACACGGAAAGACCACAAGGTTTGAGGGTGCACTGTTTTGTGGCAAACCCAACCATTTCGTTACTCTTGGCTAAGACTTCCCAGCAGCTGCTCAGAGGATGCAGTCGGCCCTATCAAGACTGGGCCTCTTGTTGCTAATCCACGTGTCCTTTTAGGCCAATTTGCTTGAAAATAGATTTAGATGGATTCCGCTGGTTTCAGTTTGCTTCTAGTACTTTTTTTCTGCCATGTGTGTTTTTCCCCAAAGACCTGGACCCCAGGTTGAATGTCGCTCCAGATTGGTTTTTGGCTAGGGACACCCTATTCATTCAGCTAGGAAAACCACTTGCCATCAACATACAATTCAACCAGAACTCTCCAGCTGTTTGACCTTCAGCATTCAGCATTCAGCCCAAAGGAAAACCAGTCAACACAGGGCTCAGGTTGAGCAGGTTGGGTCTTCTGAGACTCTGCTCATGAGATCTCTTGGGCTATTCCCTCGGACTTTGACTACCCAGGTTGTCAAAAGTGGCTAGTGGACATGAACCCCCACCCACCTGGGATCTCCACCAAAGGGCCCCCGGTCAAAATTCACATTCCTTGTCGGAGCTTTCTGGCACCGAGCATCATGCGCAACGGGACGCAGGACTGCCCAAGCGGGTACTCGGGCAGCGTTATTGTGGCATGACCGGCTCTCAGAAGGATAAGACTGGGAACCTTCCAGTCGCATGTTTGAGGGGTTCG